ACAAAAACATGAATTTTTTATTAAAACGGTCAATTGTTTTACGTTAAGGATGACTCAAACACAACGCAAAACCCTGGGTTTGTGGGAGCTAGAGGCAGTGCATTCAAGGGTTCCACTTCTGGGAGCACCCCACTCTTGCACGAATTTTGTGCGTCGAGCCTCTAGTCTATCATAAAAATACAGTATGCTAATTAGACCGGACATCCTTCCGGGAGACCTTCCGGATGAAGCCAGGGCTGTGAGGGAAGCCCAGGTCCCAGGTTTTCCCATCTGGAGGGTTCCTTCTCCGACGTCAGGCCCGTAGAATTCGCCCCAAAATCGCGCACACACTGTGGCCCAAAGGGTAAGAAATCGACCATCACCAATTGCGTTTCCCTGGATAGCCTATACCCGACATATCACTTAACTTTTCCAATGGAAAAAGGGGTGCAACGTAGGAAAAAAAAATCCCCAAAATAAACTCCACGTGACCCCCGCCTTCCAGATTAAGTACAATTTCCCCCCCCCCTCCCCCCCCCCCCAAAAAAAATAAAGATAAAACATTGGACGCGTAATTATCGGCACAAAGCATTAGAAAATACCTCGATATTTTATTATTAAAAATGCTGCTGAAAACTTTATACATATGTGTCCAGCCATATATAACTTCTATCATTATTACTTTAAGGCAAAAACCAAAGACGAAGAAATTGCAGAAATGATAACCCCCAGGATACCGTTCAACCCTGCGTGCCTGTAAAAGTCGAGAATAAAAGCTAGGAAAGTAGTGGTGTGTGTGTGTGTGTGTGTGTGTGGTTTTTTTTTTGTTTTTTTATAATGCATTTTTATCCTCATTTCTTTTTTTTCCCCCCAGTTTTTTTTTTAAATATATATAGATAGCAAGGATAGTTTATTCTCATAGAACTCTATGAAGATTTTATGTTGCTTTCGGTGTGTGTGTGGCTAGGAAAGTAGTGGTGTGTGTGTGTGTGTGTTGGTTTTTTGTGGTTTTTTTATAACGCATTTTTATCCTCATTTCTTTCCCCCCCCTAGTTTTTTTTTTTT